ATTAAGAACAATGTTGGCTCTTGGGTTTTCATAGATACTTTTTACTATGTTGAAGAAATTCCCCTCTAATCCTATTTTGTTGAGTGCTTTAATCATCAAAGGGTGTTTATAGCCATCTATCTTGTACACACATACAGAAGATGTGTGTGCATGCCCATGAGTGTGTGTAAACAGTTGAGTCAGAACCAACCCCTAGCTGACCCTCCAGTGGGTTTTCAGGGGATGTAAATCAGAGAGGGGGAGATAGTCCATTTTTCTCCCCCAGAGAGGCTGGTGGATTCAAACTTCCTAACTTCATAATGCAACTCCTTCCACACTAGGCCACCAGAGCTTCATAGTCAAGTCTGCTGACAAATGCTTCCATTTTGCCATTTCCTGGGATGTGTATCTCGAACTGGATTCCAAGGATTGTCATCTGAATAAGGTCCCTGTGTGGTGAGGTGCTGGCCAGTCGACTAGGACTCGGCCAGCCGACTAGGACTCCCAGGGCCGCTGTGAAGAACCAATCCAAACCTCGCCCTGGTCCTGCCCCATCTCACCCACTGTCACACGCAAGCCCATTGTCGCAAGTCCATTGTCAGTCCATCTCATTGTGAATTTTCCTCTCTCTGAGGACCCTCTGCTTCCCCAGCATGGTGTATCTTTCCTTGTGCCTCTGTCTAGAGGACTGAAGTAGTCGAACATAGAACGTAAATTCAGCTCCTGGACTCTGTGCTTGGGCGCTGTGGAGCCTGCTGGAGAGCGCCTTGAGCCAGGTCGGGGCCACGCTCACCCCTCAGCGCTTCACTCAGTGGACCAGGCTCTTCGGCTTAGGAAATGCTATCGGTCCCTTTCCTACTAGTGGTGCTTCCTGGGTGACAATGTCAGGTGCCGCGAACACTTCGTGGTGGTCCGAGCATTCCTGGTGCTCCTTGTCTTGCCTGTTAGTTTGGAGGAGGTGATGGTATGGAATTCTGGCTCCGTGTCACGTTGACACAACAGCCTTTCCTGTGCAACCTGGGGGTGATGCCTCAGGAACGCGTCTGGGAAGCGGCTGTCCTGTCACCAGAAACTTTCAGCTTCTTCCCTCCTGTGTTCAGGTTACTCGGAGTCCTCCGGGGATTCTCATCAAAAGTTCAGTGACACTTATGCCTAGGCGCTCGGATGTCACTGGTCATATTCCTATCGCATGCTGTGTTTATAGAGAACTTGTGTTAGACTTGTTGAAAAGCCAGTGATAAATGCAAAAGCTTAAAAATTGTGTCTCCTCCCGGGAGTTTACGTACGAATAACTCTTCTACCTCATCAAGTGATCTGTGCACCAGGAAATCGTAAAAGGTCGAAAGGGTCGACACTTAACACCCTGAAAGCTGAGGTGACCTTGCCAAACCCGAGACTGTGACTAGGCCAGGACTGTTCTCTTGGAAGGTGGGGGGATTATTATAGACACTATCTTTTTGTCACTTTGAAAAAAAATTTAGGCTGGGGTGGTGGCAAGGAGAAAAGTGCAACAATGAATGACTGGAAATCCTAAGTCTCTGTAAACTTTCATTAAAATTAATAAGTAAATTTAAAAAAAAACAAAAAAACACCCCAAACCTAAACATTTAGGCTGGTCTGGTGGTAGTGGGTTATCAGAAACGATTAACATTAGTGCAACTAAAGTTGGTATACAACCTCCCACTGCTGAATTTGACTGGCTTAAAAAACCAAAACCAAACAAAAATGTTTTTAAAAGTTAAATTTTAAATGTAAACATTCACCCTAATGTCCTCATCTTTATGAGCTCTTTGAGTTGAGGGGTAGAAAAGAGCTTTCTTCTATTATGAAATTTGTGAAGGCATTATTAGAAATAAAGTTTTACATGTCTTTAAAAAAAAAAAAGAAAATGCTGTTGGGACTATATCCACCCCTAGGGATGAATAAAAACTCTGTTGTCAGGTCAGAACCAACCCACCCCTGACCCTCCAGTGGGTTTTGAAAGGCTGGTGGCTGAGCGGTAGGGAGTCGCACTGCCAACCCAAAGGTACATGATTCAAATTCCCCAGCTGCTCTGAGGAGGAAAGCGGGACAGCCTCCTTGTGCACCATCTACTGCCGCTGAAAGCCCACTGGAGGGGCAGCTCTGGGTCAGTTCAGACGAAGCAGCACACAACAACAACAACAACAACAAACGGAAGAATGGGTGAGATGCAGTTTCACCCTCCTCGCCTCCCAGGAGCACCCTCGCTGCCTGCCCACTGCTCGTCTGCCCCTGTCCTTCTGTCCGTGCTGTGCTCAGTTCTCTGTCAACACCACGATTCAAAGTCATCAGTTCTTCTCAGGTCTTCCTTACTCATCCTCCAACTTTCAAATGGACCTGATCTCTCCTGACAGGCGAGGATGGTGAAACTGCATCTCACATACTTGGCGCATGTTGTCAGGAGGTCCTGGGATAAAGGCCTCACTGTGGCCTCATTCTGGGAGAGGATCAATGAAAGAGAAGAAGGCCGTTGACAGGCTGGACGGACGCCTTGACAGCAAGCAGGGTGGGGCACACAGGAAGCCGTGAGGGCTGCACCGGGCAGGGCCAGGCTCAGATCTGTTCTCATAGTCACCAGGAGCTGGAAGCCCTCAGTGATACTAACACCAGCAATTAGGTGACACCCAGGCAGCTCCTGTAATGTGGCTCTGCTCTATTCGACCTGCCCTGGGAGGACCACTTAGGATGGGCGCTCTGGATGCCATGGTGAAGAACTTAGACGGCGCCTGACTACCGCAGAGGGTCAAAGCAAACAGCATCTGAAGACGATGAAGACCAGTCAGGAAGAAGAAAGCAGGGCACCCTGAGTGTGATCACGGACTTGAAAGGATGAGGAGGAAGGCAGTGCAGGAGGGCGAAACTAGGCGCTTGGTGTGAGTGTCAGCAGAGCCAGCCAAGAGCCAGCCCTTCCGTCTGTTTTAAAGTCTTGCACGGACCTGGAATGAAGACTCAGCTGCAGGTCCTGAGACATGGCGCTCCCTACACCTTCTCAGGGGTCATATAGGAAGACAGGGTTCAGGAAGAAACACTCAGGCCCATCATCCAGTTCTGACTTGGAACGAACGACCCTCCAGCGTGTTCCCAACACTGTGAACCCCAAAGGGAGAAAAGTATCTGTCTTTGTCACTCGGAGCTGGGGCCGGTGAGTTCGAACCCATGGAGTGAAGCAGTTTTGGGGTAACTGTGTAAGCTGTGATGGACTTAGCCCCAGAGCTCCCAGAAGGAGGACTATGTCACCTCAAAAACCATGTTATTTTTCTACACAGTCATAGCAACCAAAACAGCTTGGTGTTGGTACAGTGAGAGACACAAAGACCAGTGGTTTACTTTTTCCAATAGATTGTTGTTGTTAAGTGCCGTCGAGTCGCAGGCGACTCATAGCGACCCTATGAAGGAGAGTCCTCGACGCTTGGGTGCCTTTAATCCTCTCTCCAAGTTCATAGGGTTTCTGGAGGCAAGCTATTACGGAAGTGGATGCAACTCCTCCTTCCAATCCAATAGAGTAGGGTTATGCAAATCCTAAAAGTGAGCTCAGGACCATGGAGGGAGCTCTTGTGGCTTTGTTGCTGTGGTGGTGGTGGTTGTGTTGTGCCATGGAGTCCCTTGTGACTCATAGAGACCCTATGTACAAGAGCCCTAAATGCTGTTCTATCCTGTGCCAACCTCGCTGTCTCAAACACACTCATTCCCATCACTCCAGTCACAGAATCGATCCATCTCATCAAGGGTCTTCCTCTCCTGCACCGTCCCTCCACTCTCCCAAGCATGAAGTCTCTCTGCAAGGACCAGAGCCTCCTTGCAACACGTCCAAAGTATGTCAGACGAAACTTCAGAATCCTTGACTCCAAGGAGCATTCCGGCTTCACCCTCTCCAGGACAAACCTGTTTGTTTTCCTAGCAGTCCATGGTATATTCAAC